AGTAAATGAATGTTGACTTAAATATCTGAAGGTCACTCTTTGCGTTGACTGTACGTGGCATGAGTACGTTCGGTCACTAGTGCCTCGCTGCTGCTGGTCAAATCCTGCAAAATCTGCGTGAAGTGGATGAGTGATACGTTGCTAAATCCGCTCAGCGAAGGAAACAGAAATGTATAAACAGTCTTCGTCATTGAGGTCTTCTAAAATTAATGATGGCCTTAATACATAGCTGCAGGAATACTAATTCACCTCCAGTTCACCTCCAGTAAAGGCTTCAAGACAGACCGAAGAAGCATAAGCAATAACTCATAGACGAAAGGCAAGAAAACGAGTAGTAAAAATTAATTTGGGCCGACCTCTCGAACATATCACAGGGCACATTGATTTTTCATTGTCTAAAAACATTCTGCTTTGAAAACTTCTTACTTCAATTTCGACATTGAACCAGCTATAAATTTTAGATAGACAGTTTAAATTTTCTACTTTAAATTGTATCTGCTCAGCATCTGTGCTGGAAACGGAAAACGTGGCAGCTGTGAGAAATGTGCACTTAGAAGACTAAAGACTTTTGTCGGAAAAAATTTTGCCAGGGGCAACCAGACGATGTGAAGTAAACAGCATCAAGAGCAAAGCATCATACGAAGTATGTCGAAGAATTAGGAACTGCTGATAAGCGAATGAGCAAGAAAAAACGTAAAAAACGCGGAAAGGAAAAATCAATTTCTCAGAAGCAACTCAATTCACAAAATATTGTCGATTTAAAAAAGTAGTGAAAGCACGCGATCATGTTCCTCATCGAGCACCTGAAAATCGCAAAAAGTGTGCCACGAAAACACGCCATTCGGGCGCCGTTATTGGGGACAATTTATAACAAAAAATAAAAAGCAGAAAATACAATAATCATGCTCGGCAACTACAGCGAGACACTCCACTTTCATATTTCAGCCTCAGATACAGAACTCAACAGAAGGGGACATTCACAAATGTATTAAAAACTTTTTCGTGATGCGTTGGCCTACAACGCAAGAAGAACGTCGATCATAAAATTTACATCAAGCTTCCGTTAACGTTTCAGATAATGAAGAACGGTCTTCTGAAGCCAATCGTTTTTTTCCAAATAAAATATTAGTAATAATTGATTAATAAATAAAAAGCGCGACGCTACCGTTCAATCTTGTTAACGCTTCGATTATTTAAAGCTAGCTGGCTGTCTGTAGATCGACAGCGTTGAAGTTCTAGTTGCATTTAAAAACTTTAAAAACGGAAAACGGCAAACTGACATTCGATTACAAGTGAGCACCTTATCATTGCCTATCAGTGAACTTTATGGAACTCAGTGAAACTTGATTGGTGAAAAAGGGATGCAACAAGTGAAAAAGTTTCTGACGCTGCGCTGCATCTCGAACGTAAATGAAGGTAAGCAATATAAATGAACAAGTGAGTTAACGATTTCTGTTCAAGTCACCG